TTTCTATCATCATGGACTTCAGAAAATAGAAAAGACTCTACAACCCACCCAGGGGTACCCTCTTCTGTTCCAGATGCCACTGCTTGACCTCTCAAAACAGTCAAACACAGACAAATACTACAGCTTACGACCATATTAAATAACTGAAAGACAGCATAACCCTTGCTCCCAATATAAATTGTGGAGATGAAAGAATCCTAGAAGATTCAATTTAGAATATTATTGGAGCTTAAACAGTTTCTTTGCCTATAAAATTGCCCAGAAATTCTTTTTTACAATACTTTTACTCTTTTAGACTTAGTCTCTGTCATAAAGGGTCAATAGTAACTTACACTAAAGGGTATACATATGACATAAAGTATAGCTAAACATATAAAAACCAACAGAAGAGTAATTTTACTGGAATAGAAATCAGTTCGTCAAATATAATTCCTTTAAACAAGTGAAAATTTGAAATGTACCATACTTTATTTCTCTTTTTATAATAGTTATATTTAACATATTTAGTAAGCAAGATGGCAGATATATAAGACTCAGAGGCTAGGAACATGGATTCTCCAAACCATGTTTCCGGTTCATATTAAGATTCTCTACTTTCAAATTAAGCTAACCAAACCTCAGTTTCTTCATTCTGAAAAAGTGCCTAGGTTCTATTTCATATAGGATTGCTTTGAACAGCCAACAAAATAACTGTGTAAGCACTAGAAAATATAAATTCATCTCTCGAGAAGTTTGCAATCAGATAAAAGGTGAATTTCCAAGGTAAATAAACCTAAAGGTGGAGAATGATGAGCACCTTGGAGTTGCAGATAACATGCTTTGGGAATTTAAAGAAAAAGATTTGCCTCTAGGTGGAACATGAAGAAACATTTCCTAAAGGAAGGTGCATTCATGCGTTAAACCTTGAAGAATGGGTACAATTTCATATTGCGGATGGAGTATGGGCACTGCCAAGTAATGTCACAGGGTGACATGATGTTACACAGGTAAATAGCGAGTGCAGTTAGAAAATTCTATTCTACTCCACAGGATCATATAAGGGAACAAAATCATTAGAAACCCTAGTTTTATTCAAACTAATCATAGTAAGAGAAAGTGACTTCATATTTAATGATATAATGAATCACATCATGGGTTAGAAGAGAGAAAAGTCCAGCCAAGGACCATTGTACTTTCTTCTGCACTTTAGAGTCAGAGTACCCACTTCTATCTAACACAAAGCCCTGGGTATGCCCGGCTCTCACTCAGTTCCCAGACTTGACAATGACTCTTGCAGCAAAAGTAGCTTCAGGCAGAGAAATCCACTAGATCATCACGTTTGTGCCTTTCACTTCAATCAGAGGCTGCCTAATGGAAAAGACTCATTCTAATTTCTAATAGAAAGACTCTTCGTGGTTTAATACTTTTTCCAAATGTAATCACTTGAATCCACTATGCTTTTTTGGCTAATGACCAAAACTTTTAAAACATATTTCGATGTGGAAAGTAGGGATTTTTACTGACCTTTAATCTTTAAAATGCAGCATTTTTTAAAAGTAAAATTAAAGAAACAAAGAAAAGAGTCCTAAGAAATGTATGCAGGATCCTACGAAGTATCAAATGAAAGAGATTACAAAAGAGGAAAAAAAATCAGTATGGTAAAATTTAAAGCCCTGTAGCAATTCCAGGCAGTATAAGGGAAATTACTGAAGTTCTCTTTCTCTCTGGTATGTTTTTAAAGAAAAAAGTGATTCTCATGGGAGTGTAACACAGAAAGGAAAGAGGAAAACAGCTGGCTGTGGGCCATAATTTACCATTCACCACAAAATGAGATACTGTTTCTGCTTTTCAAAAGCCATAGTTTTTTTTTTTTTTTTTTCTTTTTCTTTTTCCCAAGCAGACAGACTCTAGTTACACAGTCAATTAGATGAGAGATGAGAGATAGAAGGAAAAGATTAAGATGAGTAACTCAAAAGACAGGGCATGGACTTATAGTCAAATTCTGTTCTAAATATTACTAAAACAAAAACTCTGTATAACCAAACTAGCTCACATCCTAGCAACAGCTCACTTACTTCAAACAAAATATAGCAAACTCTAATCCAAAAAATTCCATTGAAGGTGGGGTTTAATGGTAATTAATCTAAATTGTTAAGAATGATGTGAACAAGTTCTCTTTGTATAAACTTAAAATCCTATAACGAATCATTCACCTAGGTCATTGTGTGATAAAGACACCATCTTTAATCTCTTTTACAGAAAAAAAATAAAATTTTTCATCTGCCTGGGGAAAATTCTTTATGAAATCAGCAATGTAATATAAGGGCTTTAGAAGGAAAAATGCCATACATCTTAAAACATAAGTTAAATTTAGTTTCATTTAAATGACTGTACTTTATTTCTAACCTGCCTTTCTTCAACGTATATTCAAATTATTATTTTTCTTGTATACCCAAGTCAAAAAGGAAGGAAACCTTGAAAACTAAATAGATACCCAAAAAAGGGTAAGTTAGTAAATCAATGATAATTGTACAATGTGTCTTTTTTGAGGCATGTTAGAAAACAGTTTCTAAAAAAATATAAGTTTATTTTTGAGTTTACGGTTAAGACTGTGAAATGTGTTCATGGGATTTCCAAACTGTTTTGTACTGGGAAACTTTCTGTCCGAGCCACTGAAAATTGAGTCTCTTAAAAGCACAGAGAGGCAGTCAAACTGAATACCTTCAGGGTCTTTCAGTTGTTTCCAATTTACTAGTTGAGGACTCTGTTCTAAGAATCACTAGCAATGAAAAGGTAGTGAAAGGGATATGTTAATGGCATGGAATTCTCTCTAAAGGCTATCTTTAAATCTGTAAAATCTCTCCTTCTTGGGGACAAGGTAGAGAGAAGGAAGATTACAGAGAAGGTTAAGATTCTTGGTTAAAAAGGTATTCTTTAAATTTAAACAGGGGATGAAGAAGGAAAATTACATCATATGCTAAATAATTATAAGTCACATTTTGAAACTTTATAAAACTATATAAAAATAGTATTTGGATTTTTCTTTTGAAAGAATAGATAATTTTTTTTTTCCAGTTGTGGGGATCAAATCCAGTGCCTTGAACATGCTAGGCAAGCACTTTATCACTGATTTACATCCCAAGGCCCATATAATTCTTAACTCTGGACCGCTCCACTAAGAATTATTCTTTGTCTCAAAGAGTCTTTAAAACACTCCTGAGTGTTTTTTTTTTTAATATACTATTTTAGGTTCACACCAAAGTTGAGCAGAAAGTATAAAATTCCCATATTCCCTCTTTCCCACACAAACACAGCCTCCCCCACTATCAATATCTTACATCAAAGTAGTATATTTATGAAAACCAATGGAACATACTTACACATCACTATCTACAAAGTACATAGTCTACATTAGGGTTTGTTCTTGGTAAATTATACATTTTGTGGATTTTGACAAACATCAAATGACACATATCCACAATTATAATATACGAAATTTATAGTGTCACTGCTGTAAAAATCCTGTGCTTCACCTATTCATCCTCAGGGTGTTGACTTTTACAAAGTAGTTTTTGAATCAATATTTATAAGCAAGGCAAGGCACCCCCAAATTTTAGACAAGAACTAAATTAAGTATTTACACACAAAAAATCAAAATGAGTGCAATGATCAACAGAAAACTAATGGTGCATTAAACACATGCTTTCAAGTGGAAAGCAGATTAGTCAAAAAACTGTTATTTAAAATAACTTTTTAAATATTAAATGGGAAGAGAATAGAAAGCAACTACAGTATTCTTAAAAAAATTTTTTCCTATTCTTGAATTCTGTTTTGAGTGCTGATTTTAGTCACAAGAGAACAAAAAACTGTTTTCTCACTGCAAGTTTTTATTGTTCAACAACTTCCTAAACTAATATCTTGCATTTGCATACAGTTTCAAAAATTAAGTTCTTACCAGAAAATATACTTAATGTTCTGGTCAGAAATTTGTCTTTTAGAAGACAAGCAAGAAAATTAAGTTTTTTGCCTCTTTTCCCTTTCTCACTCTGCACAACTTCCTTCCCTATTTGATAAGAGACAGCTAGCTTAAATTTACTGCAAAGTAAATATGAACAATTCCCTGGAAGGAGACCTTTCACACAGAATGTTACACTCGAATGTGACATCAGCATTCTTTTTGGAGTCAAAGTCTGGTCCCCACCCTTTCTCCCAGACTACCGGGGGCTCCCCATACCCTGGGAGTGGCTCAGGTAGGATTCTGAAGCCCAGAACCATCCAGCTAGAAACCTTCCCCAGAACTGAGCACTGGTGACAATCGCTCTTTGTGGCTAGCTGCAAACAGGGAAAAAAAGTTTTGAGAGATAACTTCGCCAAGAAGGAGGCAATGTGCTTTGGCAATCAAGTAATGAATGATAAGAGAAAAAAAAAAAAATCATCACTTTACAAAATAATCAGCAGTGGCGGGTGCTAAGGAAGTGCATTAAATCAGCACTCGCTCACTTTAGGGAACCTCAGGCAGCCAAGTAGTAAAGGGAGGGGGTCAAGGCTGTCAAAGTCGCATCAACACTCCTAAACCACAAAGACTTGATGAAGTTGAATTTCCTGAGACAGGAAGAACAAGTGTCACGGTCTCGCCCGAACTCGCTCTAACCTCGTCTTTTCCTTTTGGGGGAGGCACAGGCGTAGCTGAAACATTTTCAGGAAAAGTTTCAGACACCTCCAACCGTTGGGCGTGGTGAGAGACAGGGGAGCAAGGTCCCGCGCCTGCCCGCGCTCGCGCTCGGACTCACTGTCGCTCCCAGGTTTCAGGAGTTAGCGAGGTTGCCAGGCACCTCTACCCAGAGGGCCCCGTACCTGGACCCGGCGTCCTGGGGACACCGTAGACAGGGAGGTGGCTCGCGCCAGGCGGCCCGCGCGCCCCACCGCTGGCGACGGCCAGGGGGCGGCGTCGCGGGGGGTTCCGGGACGCGGCACCGGCGGCGCAGGTGAGGCGACCGCTGTCGCCGCCGGCGACCTGTTACCTTCTTCATTTTGGTATCCAGGTCCATGTTGGTGTGTCAGACGGGTTCCTTCCTCCTGTCCGGGATCTCACGTCCAGGCTTGGCAGGCCTCCGCTCCTCTGCGGGCCCTGGGGGGGATCTGCCGGCACTACGGCGCCACTACCGCAGCCACCCACCCGGCGCCGTCGAACTTCCGCCGCCCAGTCCGCTGCAGTTGTCCTGCGGCGTTGACCGGGAACAAAGAGGCGCGGGCAGCCAATGGCAGCGGGGCAGCGCCGGGCCGCCGCCAATCACCGAGCGCCGCACGCACCTTCGCGGCCCGAGCGCAGTGCGGGCAAGGTGAGGGGCGGGGCCGCGTCCGGGGCGGCGTCCTGCGGGGGAGCTCAGTAACCCGCACTAGGCCTTGGCTTACGCGCCATGCAGGGTGGAGACCTTAATCCTGCCGGCCTGTGGCTGAAGAAGAGCGCTTTCCATTCTGGCAGTTTGTACCTGTTTGTAGGGGACGCTTGACTCAGGTCAAAAGGAGTAGTTATCCCTACCCTAACTAGGTTTATTTTCAGGGAGAATAATTAAAAAGATTTTGGAGATTCCAGTGATGGGATTTAGGCTCTGATTTCACTATTGAGTTGTGGAAATGCCCTTTTCACGAATGCTTTTCTCCAAAGTCCCAAACGCTAGCAAGGGACCTTATCTTGAATTTTTCTTGTCAATGAAAATTGTTAATATTGTTTTCTGAGCATCTGATTATCCGAAAGTGAGGATGATGTGAATCACTTCAGAAACAGGTTATGTCATTCCTTTGAATATAGAGACTTGCCCTTTGTCCTGCTATGTGAAATACTGCAAGGGGGCTCTTATTCCCACGCTTCTATGAAGCAAAGTTTCAGAGGTATCACAGCAACATTGGAGCCCCAGAGCTGGGCCCATTTCATACCTTCATTCAGGAGTAATTGCAATAAATATCAGATTGGTGAGTTTGGAATGAAATCCAGACATTGTTTTGTTCAATTCCTTTTGTTCTCTTCATAGAGAAATGAAGACACACACACACACACACAAGTGTAGGGGCCTTCCTAGAATCTTAGGGGATAGAGCTAAGAGTTTTTAAACAACTTCTCCATGATGTTTTGGACTGGAAACGGCATTTTGACTACAGAAAAAGAGCAGTTTGCTTCAGTTTGTGATAATGACAGAAAACGAAAATGGCCAGATAGCAGATAGCCTCCTCATCTGACATCCACCTTTCAAAAGCAAAAACCAAAGAAAATAAAAACCAAATTCCCTCCAAAACAAATACCCAACACAATGCAGATACAAGGTCAGATGTCCCTCCTCCACTTTGCCTCTTGAAATTTGGTCGTAAAAAAAAAAAAATCATCTAGACAAACTTTCAACCCTTTGTTTTATTAGGTTATTTGTTAACATTTTTGACAAAGCATTGACTTATGATATGCATGTTTTTCTATCCTATTAATTACTAAAAATAGGATGACCAAAATGGATAGTGATTTTTTTTTTCTTTTCACTCAGTTGAAGTAAAATATTCTTCTTTCCCAAACCATCCTGATAGGTTCGAACCCTTGCATGTTGTGCTCTCATAAATACGAGGTCTAGCTATGACAATGCAATTTCTTCTCTTTCAAAGAGCTTAAAAGATAGAAAACGTCCAGTAAAGCAGTTTAAATAAGATATCAAATAAACACTGCAACATAAATTTTGTATCATAAATTTTGTGACACTAAGAAAATGACCTAGAAACATTTTATTTATTTATTTTTACTTGTTTATGGAACTTTATTTTAGATATTTTATTTTTTATATATGGTGCTGAGAATCAAACTCAGTGCCTTGTACATGCTAGGCAAGTGCTCTACCACTGAGCTACAACCCCAGCCTCGAAACATTTTTAACCATCAAATTCTGGCTCTCATCCTTTCTTCCTTCCCAGCCCTCTCAGTGTCACTTGTGTGGGTAGCATTGGCCAGGGTAGATGCTGGAATTTAGTGATTTTTATCTGAAATTACTAATCTTCCAAATATAGGAAATTATTCACATATTATTTGTAAATTACTTACAGGAAACAAATTAATGTAGTAAGTGTTGACTAGGAAAATTAGATTACAAGAGCTAATTCAGTTATTCAAGTGTTAGGCTGTAGAGATATTAAGGAGTTAGAACAGGCACAGTTTGATGACTGGATGTAGTTGATGACAGATGAATGAATTAAAAAAAGTGCAAATGGTTTTAGCACAATCACCTTTGTGGATAGCTCAAGAAAAGAGAAACTTTAGGATGAAGGAAAGGGTTGTGTGTGTGTGTGTGTGTGTGTGTGTGTGTAAGGCAAAGGATGCTAAGATAAAAGAGTATGATTTGGAAATTGGGATATTAAAATCAAGTAACCAAATATAAACCTAAGAGATAAAATATGGACTGGAATGATGATTTCAGCGTCAACATCCTACATAGATAAATAATTAAAAGCATGCATAGAAAGAAGCACATCTTGGGAGATAGAAAAATGAAGGAAAAGATATCAAAGACAACAACTGAGCAATGTAGAACAAGATAAGCACAAACAAGAGATGAAAGCTAGTCAAAAGGAAAGGGGAAAATAGGAGTAAAATCTCAACAAGCAGAAAGCAAATTCAAGTAATTGCAAACAGTATGAAATTGTAGAGAAGGGTCAAATGCACACTGGATTTAATAAGAAGATCATCAACAACTTTGGAAAGCGTATTATTGGTGGAGCTGTGGATACGGGCATTACTTCGTATTTCTCTCTTTGTGCCTACCAGAGTGCTTTGGTCAATGTTGAACTTGACTCCTCCACAAAAATGGAAACATCAACCTAATACATGACCCAACTCTGATGTTTCTATCAAGTAGAGAGGAAATCAATATATCAGATAATACTAAGGGATGTTCTTAAGATCTTTATCTTAAAAAAGTAAGTAAAAATACTAGATTTTACAGAGACACACACACTAAAAAGTTCTTTATATGAACCAAACATAATATTTATGTATGTTAAATTCAGTCTGTAAGTTACAGTCTCTGATGAAGGAAATGTGTTAAACATATAAGTACCTTGCACTGTAATGGACATTAGAGATATTTAAAAAAAATATGTAAGACATTTCCTTCATTCTTCAGTTACTTACAGATTAGTTTGGGGTGACAGGCATGTAAAAATAATGAAGTGTTGCTGGTAGAGGGACGTGCCAATGCAGGGCAGGGGTCTGTATTGGGGTTTGTAAAATCTTTAGAGAAGAATATCTCTTGGTTGAGTCTTGGAATACGAACGGTGTCTTAATTAAAACTCTTTTGATTGTAATAAATAGGAACCCTCTTGACCTAGTTTAAAATTAATAAAAAAATATGGCATATCTTTTTAAAACTAAATAGATGTCTTGCAAAACTCAAGACCCAGACATCTGAGTTCATTTGTGACTAGAACCAGGCTCTTCATAACATCTGGAGCCAAAAGAACAACTCTTTCTCTGGTAACATATAGATTCTTTCATCTTGCTACTCTGCCAACATCAGTTATTCCCCTTTGCAAATTTGTTTTTGTCTGTTTTTCTACACTCACAGACATCTATAAAAGCAGTCTCAACTCATGAGCCAATATTCCCTTAGTTCAAGCAAGAGATCTAGAATGGGCTTCCAACCCCTCCAAAAGAAAGACTGTTGTTACCTCAGCATGGTAAATGTGGACCTCTGATCCAATTGGTCGGGGCTTGTATCATTTCAGAAGCACGGAGGACAACACAGAGAATGAAACTTAAACTGACAGGTAGGGCATCTCACAGAAAGGAGTGACAAGAGTTTTGTAAAAATCCCCTAAAGGCATCTATCTCTGTTTCCAGTATTATAAGGAAATAAGGAAGAGGCTTAGTGAATAAGGAAAGAAATTGATATTTTTTTTCCCTGTGGACATTGGAGGACTACTGACCATTTTCAAAATGACTTATACTTTAGAAAGTCTACTTGTGCAAACATTTGTAGATGTTTCTTTTGTTGGGAGGAGTAGGAGTAACTACTATATAGGACAGATCTAAAGAAGAGAAGATTGATTAGGATATTATGGCCCAAACCCACTTGAAATATGATAAAAGCCAAAGTAAGGCAGTGGCAATGAATGGGTATGATGTTTGAGGGAATTACCAATAATATTAAAGAAGTAGGAAATACGGAACTTGATTGATCCCTAAAGAGAGGGAGGATAAGAAATCTATTAGGATTCCATTTTCCTATCTCTTAGGAATCTTTTTGGTGGTAAATATGGTAGGTGTAACTCACACCTTACACATTCGTTCTAAAGGAAACTGAAGAGGAGAATGACCTTTCCTTGAGAAACCTCATGGATTTCGTTTCATATGTACTGGTGACCAAAAGAAACATCTCAACTGAAGATAATAGATGGTTTTAAGTACGTAAAGATTATAAGCATATGTCTCCACATACAGAGTAAACACTATGAACACCAGAAAAAGAGAATTATTGAAAAGCTTTCTCCATTAGTTGAAGATTTCAGGATAAAGATGAGGATACCTTTTTCTTCAATCAGTAATGTAGTCCCAGGAGGCCTCTCTGGAGAGGCAAATTACTTGTTAACACTTGTCATGGGAACTCCTAGGTGAGCCTGGCACATCTATTATTACTTATTAGCAGCTTGAATGAAATCACAGGTTGTCCCACAGGTATATCTTAACAGCAAACAGGTATCTAATATATCTCAGAGCAAATCATCAGCTGTCATTTTGACCAAATATTGAGGTTTGACTCAGTAAATAATGGATGAGCCACATGATAGATTTAGCACAGCTACTGAACAATATTTAGGAATTTTTGTAATAGAAAAAAAATATAATGTCATGGGAACAAATTGGAACACAGAATTGTATATACCGCATACTTAGAACTATGCAAAATACCTTGTATAGGAAAAGAACATGAATGAAATACACTAAAATGTCAGTAGTTTCTTTGATTGGTATGTTCATGGTGATTTCTTCTTTTTAAAAATATTTGATGATGTTGTGGTTTAGATATTGAGTGTCCACCTAAAATTTATGTATGAGATTGTGCAAGAAAGCTTAGAGGTGAAATGATTGGGTTATGAGAGCCTTAACCTAATCAATGTGTTAATCATTAATCCGCGGTTAGCGGTTAACTGGGTGGTAAACTGTA